CACCCTAATTCAAATATGGCGCTGTGAACTAATGCACCAGACTGCAAAACTATTTGAACTACAAGGTCGGCAGTTCAAGTTCACCAGCTGCTCTTTGAAAACCCTGTATAGGGTCACTATGGGTTGGAATTGACTCAACAGCACTTAACAATAACAACAACAACAACTCAAATGAATAGAGTCTTTTACAGTCTTCCTTACTCAGTGTCCAACTTGCACATGTGAAAGTTGGATATTAAATAATGTCGATTGAAAATATCATGGCTTAAATCAAATGCATATTAGTCCTAACTGATATCTTTGCTTTTTATCACTTTAGAGAAGTCTTTTGCTTTACTTTATGCAATTTGTTATTTTATTTCTTGACTGTTATTTCCATGAGTATTGTGGATCCAAGAAAAATCGAAGTATTTGAAAACGTCAGTCTTTTCTCCATTTATTATTATGTTATTTATTGGTCCAATTGTGAGGATTTTCATTTTCTTTACATTGAGGTACATTTCATACTGAAGGCTGTAATCTTTGATCATCAGTAAGTATTGCAAGTTTTCTTCACTTCATCAGTCAAAGATGTATCATCATCATATCTCAGGTTGCTAATGACTCTCTCTAATCTTGATGCCACATTCTACTTCATATAATCTAGCTTCTCAGATTACTTACTCAGCATACGGATTGAATTAATACATTGAAGGGGCACAATCTTAATACACACCTAACCTGATTTAACACCACTCAGTATCCCCTTGTTCTGTTTTAGCAACTGCCTCTTGGTCTGTGTACAGGTTTTCCATGAGCACAGTTCCTTAAAAGTACTCTGGAATACCCATTCTTCCCACTTTTATCCATAGATTTTATGTTTCACACAGTCAAATGCCTTTGCATAGTCAATAAAGAAGAAGTAAATGTCTTTCAGGTATTCTCAGCTTTCAGCCAAAATCCATCTGACGTCATTTAACATCCTCTTCTGAATGTGTGGCACAAACCAAAGAAAAAAATTGAAAAGTTACAGAAATTAAAATTTTTAAAGCTCTATTTATTGCCTTTTTAAGAAAATGGCAATTCAGGCCATATCCTGGGAGAAAATATAATACAAACCTTATACAGGGTTACTATAAGTCTCTCGCTGTCTGCGCACCTCCATTCTGGTGATTAGAGGGGATGCCTGAGAGAATGGACACCCTACCCACTCCCCTGGAGGGTTCTACTATGCATGCGCATAGATCTGCTCGAAATTTAAAGTGACAGTTTCCACTTAAAACCAAACGGCCAGCACTCATCTGTCAGTTTGTCGTACTTTGGTGACTTGTGAGTTACTGTGATTCTGAAAGCAATGCCACTGGTATTTTAAATACCAGCAGAATCACCCATTGTGGACAGGTTTCAGATGAGCTTCCAGACAAAGACAGACTAGGAAGAAGGAGTGACAAACTACTTCC